TACATTATTTGCAAAGGAGTATAGCACTACCAGAGAGACTTCATGGTGAACACAGATATTTATCATGACCTAGCTAAGGCAACTCCCTGCACAGCCTGGTTATTCCTGCAAACCCAAATATTACCATGTGCAATTTTCCCTGCTTCTCACAAACTTCAAAGCCTACCTTGGGGCTCAGAGAAGATGACTTCTGAACATAAGCTACAGCAACACTGCTTATTTACCCTTATGCTGCCTTAAACAAGACCAGATTTCATCGCAAGATTTCAATTCACACTTGCTTTGCTTATGTTTAATAATTGTTACCAGTGCAACTATATTAGCAAACAACACCTCTGCAAGGTCTTAAAATAAGCAAATCTTTAGGCTTATCCTGAAATAATTATTCCCAACAAATCTTTTTAAGAAAAGGCGCTCAGCTCCATCTGCTGTCAAATTTAGATTATTTCTCTCTGAGGCTCAGAACTGCACAAAGGGATTTATTTTCCATTTGTTCAACATCTTCTATCCATGCAAGATGCAGAATTACAAACTGCTACTATGAAGGTACCTATCAAAATGAAAAGCATCCCCCCTCCCCAAAGATCCATTAACATAGCTCGTTACTGCCCTTAGCAGCTGCAGTACCAATCCTTGGAAGAACTGTCTTCAACTTGAAAGTAGTTTATCGTATTTTCCCCTTGTTTGCTATGACAATTATAAACACACAGGCCAAGGGGCTCTGAAGCTGGGTTGTCTAACAAGAGTCAATTTACAGAATATTAACATGCTCTCTCACTCTGACCCTGTAACAACTATGAAAATCCACCCACTAATTACACTGTTAGAAGTGACAAATAATTTTAGAAATGGGTGTTTTGCACCTGATGAGTGCAAAAGAGTATCTTCAGTTAAAGAAAACATCTTACAAGGAGTTTAGAGGTTCCCAAATATATATTCATTACTGCTTCTTCCTTAAGTATGCACTGCTTGTGCTCATGAAATACCAATAATTAATAGCCAGAACAGGAAAGAAATATGTAAAATGTCATCAAAATACATTTAAAAATAAGCATTTACAATTATAAAATTCTAAATCAGAATTTCTGAAAAAATCTTGAAACATAAACAAAGCATATGCTTGCATAAAAATATTTTAATAACCTGTCTAGAATAATGGGTAACTAACATATGGCTCACCTGTGTCAATGAAGCAGTAAGAACTGGTAGCAATAAAACCTTGAGAATAATTTAAAAACAAACAAACAAAAAACAAACCACAAATTTTATACCTTATTCCTTTTTATAGGCCCACATCTGATATTATTTTTACAAGTGTATTTTGTTTTATCCTAATGAAGCAGAGCTAGATTCACACTGGAGTAATTGAAAACAGAGCAGGGTCTGAGTGACTACAGACAGAACTCTCCAGGTACTTCAGTGGGGCTTTGTTCATCTAAGTACAAGTAAAAAATGTTTTAATAGCATGGTAGTTTAGTGGAAAATAAAGCATTCTGAAACACTTTGGCTGTCAGTCACCTACCTTGTGCTGTTTGCTACTCTTCTGTTCTCCCTAAGCCAATCATCAGAGGAGACACTGACTTTTCTATCATTGTCTCCTCTTGAACAAGATAAATTGACATATCTACTTAGTACACAGAGAGGGCAAGTCCCTTAGAAATACACTTTTTCCTCCTGCTATGCCGTACAGAATTTTTAATGCAAATCAATCTGGAACATATCTGTTTTCCAAAATAGGAGGCGATTTTTGTTTGTTTGTGGTATGTTTATTTATTTTAATTAAAATTAAAATTGCATGGCTTGCAAATAACGTTTCAAAAGTCCTTTGCTGCCCCCATGTGTTTCACAGGAAAAGTAACTCTTGAAGTCTACATAAAAAATAAAACAGCTCTCTCTCCAACCAAGACAACAGCTTCTGCTATGAACAGACAGTCCATGGAAATAGCAACATAAAAAAAAACCTTAAAGTTTATTTCTCTCTTCTAGTAAAGCTGACCAGTTTATAATTTAATGATTATATACTAAAAATAAGAAAAATTATTCAGCTTGAGATTTATAATTCCCAATGAACAGATTTCAATGCTAGCAGGCCAACTCAGTCCAAGTGGATGATGTCACCCTGATGGAAAATATGACATGCTTTATTTCAAAACTTACTTTTCATTAAAGCTAATTTCAGCACCTTTTCACCGATTACACTGACTGGTAAAGTGACACTATACAGAACAAAATCATGTGGCTATTGCATTAAAGCCTCTGTTTCTCTTGGTATCAGTATATCCAAAACTATGGTTCCCATACCAAGCTTTCCTTTGATGCTCCTGCCAACCACTGCCCTGCACTTCCCCCAAGGGTCACAGTGCGCAAAGTCAGTTTGATGGATTTTTGCCTCAAAATTTGTCTGCTGAGGCTCAGACCATCCTTAAAAAGGTTTCACTGTTCACTTATGCTACAGTCTTCACCCTATCCAGTCCCTATGCTGATCTCAGACCTCATTACATCAATATAAGTTTTTAATTTATTTTAATAACACCTCTTTTGCCAATCCTGGGGTTACAAGAATAAAACTAATCAGAATAAGCAATAAAAGCTGCCCTTTTAAGGTTTCATACTCTGACTATAAGCCATAAATAGCCCTCCTGTACTAAAACTGCTGACAGTTTAGCTGATGCCCCTGACAGCCTGTCTACAGGAAGAGGAAAGCAAAGGCAGAGCTGGATTACGATCCCCACAGGTTTGTTCAATCCTGGACATAACCTATTTCGTAGGAACAGATCATAAACTTTTATTTATACTGTCAGGAGGTTCCTGAACTGCCATGATTGTTTTATCATTAATCTACCTGCCACCGTTTAAGTGCCTTTAAAAGGCCTCAACTTCTCAGAAATTACAGTGTGTTAAATTCTCTCTTCACTACAGAAATATGTGTAACTGCAGGCTATAAAGCAGAATAATGAATTTTTCTTTCCATCATTAAGAAAAGGTACCTGCATGGTAAGTGTTCTGCAAATAAACACAAGCGCTCCTTTGCCAGTGGGGTGGACTGGAGAGAATTGTTGTCCTCTCATGACTGAAGTACTGGGGTTTGTTCTCCCTTTCCCTGACAGATAACAACTCTGGTACTGTAGTCTCACTTCAGAAAAGTGAGTGGTTTGGGCTGTTTTTCTTTGTAAAATTGATGGTCAGTTCCTCATTAAAAACCAAACAAACCAACAAAACCAAAAAAACAATCCACCAAGCAAATGCAGCATAAGGCCAGCCAGTATCAAAATACTTTTGCTATAGAAAAGAGCAAAAGGCCAGTTTTTTGGGGGGAAAGGGGGCTAAAGGCCTACATAGCACAGAGGACTCTGTAGTGCTGCTGATTAAAGTTATCTAAATCCTTCTTCAGTCACTAGTGGGGAGATGACAGACATCAATCAGCACTCATGACTGAAGCTACCTGGACCCCCCCCTCAAACAGTAGTTACCATTCCCAGAGAGGGATGCTACAACAAAGCCAGCTTGCTGAAGCCAGCAAGCGTAGGCATTTGAACTGAGATGATGATGTAGAGAGGTGCAGCTGACAGTGGCGCTGCCCCGACCGACCCTCCACCAGGCATAGGCTTAATCCTTTGTCTTCTACTTGCCAGGTCTGCCTATATCTACTGATCTAGAAATTAGAAATATATAGATCTCATTATACCTCATATAGGTACATTTCATACAATACAATTTCACTTTCAAACTTGTATTGTTGGATAAAATGCTGCATGCCACAAAAAAAAAAAACAAAACAAAACCAAAACATGTATTGGCACAATTCTGCACCTCACACTTTACACAGCACACCCCCCTATATGTCTTTGCTATTACACAGCACAGCAACTGTAGAAAAACTTCACACCCTGTAAAATTTCAGTGCAAGGAAAGCCTGCATCACACTGCAAGGTTTGCGGCAAGGTTTGCGACTGGTACCACTGCACTGTGGTAGCAAAATGGTGGGGAGAAAAGCAATAGGGACAACTAAAACATAGAATAGCTTTAAACATACAAATATTCTACATAAAAATACTGCATAACATTGGATGCCCCATACCTGGAAGTGTTCAAGGCCACTTTGGATGGGGCTTTGAGCAACCTGGTCTAGTGAAAAGTGTCCCTGTCCATGACAGAGGGGTTGGAACTAGACAATCTTTAAGGTCCATTCCAGCCCAAACCATTCTATGATTCTGTATCTATTGATGGCAATTTACAAGAGGAACTGTGTTAACTTATACCAGCTTAACAAAGTTTTAAACATCAAACACTAACCTGCTTGATGGAGTACCAGTACTTGACTAGTTTCTAAGGAAACCTGTGAGCCACCGTAAGCATGCACGGAGGTTTCTCTCGAGCATTTTCTCCTGGCACAACCTAACTGGACACCAGAGGCTGGGGACATTGGCAGTGCAGAACAGGGTAGATCTCCCCCTACCAATGCCCTCCCTTGCTAAAGCCTACAAGCGGCACTTCTACTGCCCCAAAGGAGCAACTATACCTTCGCCTTCCTACTGGCAGCCAAGTTTGCAGGTACCACCCACCCTCCCTTTCAGCAAAGGTCTAGCATTAAGTTTTCCCTTAGCTAACTGAACGGTCAGCACCTCTTCTCCCCTCCTTTGCAGCCCTGTGAGACTCGCATCTCTCACATGTAAAGCACTGCCTGAAACTCAGGCTTTTTCCAGGTGCTGCCCAATACCCCAAAACACAGCAAAACCGCCGACAGAAGCAGGATACCCGGGTACGGCAAGAGCCGTGCACCCAGCACCTGAGGGTGGCGATCATTGACGGGGCTTGAGGGCCCCGCCCCGGTCCGCCCCGCTGGCTGCTTGTGCCCAGGCCCGCTGTAGGAAAAAGTGGGGGCTGCCTCCGGAAAGAAAGGTTTCAGCCCTTCCCCCCCCCCCCCCCCCCCCCCCAAAACAGCTCAGCCCACAAGCTCTGTGGGGTGGAGGTGGGACCCCCAAGCCCCACCCCACCCCGCCATGACATGGCTGCCGGGGGAGGGCCTGCAGACCGGGACGCGGTAGGGAGCTGGTCCCGCTGGCCGGCGCAGCATGGCGCGACCTGTCGCTCAGCCCGGCCGGTCAGTGAGGGTGCGAGTGCTGGCGATTCTCTGCTGCCTGCTGCGGGTGGGCAGCGCCGCTCTCCTGGCGCCTGCGGGCACCTGGCTGGGGGAACAGGGCGGCGGTGCTCAGGGCCGCCTGCCCTGGGATGGAGACGGCCGGGACGAAGAAGTGGCGGCGGCGGCCCTGCGGGTAGGTGTCCGTGCCCGCACTTACACCGGCGATCGGCGCCGCGCGGCGGGCCCGCTGGCTGCGGGCTCCGCCGGAGAGGGAGCGGAGCCGAGCTGCCGCTTTAACCAGAGAGTGTGACGTGGAAGAGGGTGGCACGGCTGGAGCGCTCAGCCCGGGGTACCGACACCCGCTCCGGTGTCGTTTGCTGTTTCGCTTCTCTCTGCTTCCCCCCAAACTGCAGGCGCTGGGATTCCGTTGCTTTTCTCCCCTTCCCCTGTTCTGGCGCCAGGTGTCACCCTCGCACCGAGGAGGTGGCTGTCCGATTGTCTTTCGTGGGTCAAAACCGTGTTTTTCGCAGATGTAGGATTCCTGGTAATTTAAAGCCTAGGGTTTTAGGCCATTATACTGTTCCTTTCTTTCATAAGGACATAAAACAGGGTTAACTCTTATCATTTTTACGTATCTCTGAACCACAACGTTTGTTTTTCTGTCAAAGGGCATCAGATGGCTTTGACAAAATTTGTACTCATCTGTTTTGTCTGTCTTGTATCAATTTTTTACCCTCTGTGCACTTAAAAAGGCTTTTCTGCTATCTCTCTTGGAGTTCAAATTAGTCTAATGGCTTTCATGTCGGTTTGCTGGGAATCCACAGTGAATCTGAGGTGAACCTGAGGCGAAGATCTGCCTTGTTACCCGAGTTCATGTTTACTGTTGCTAACCTGTTTTTTTCCTGCTCTTATGGTTCTATCACTATTGCTATCTTAATAATGCCCACGAGACATTTATTTTTTTTCCTTCAGGAAAGCACTAAAAGAATTAGCTTACTGAACTCATCATCAAAAGATAATATGACCGCTTTCTATGGAATAAACCAGTTTTCTCACCTGTTTCCTGAAGAGTTCAAAGGTACGTTTCCCGATTGCTGCTAATGCCTTTTCTGTTATTTTTCTTATTCTTTCCCAGAACCTTGTGTCTTTCATATTTACAGATTCTTCCAGTGCTGGTAGTCAGCTAGTTTACAATGTCTGATACCAAACTGTAAGTACTTCTGAAGGATACAGTGATCCTCTTTATGTTTCACTAGTTTTGCAAGGTTGAATTGCCCAGAGCCTGAATATGATATAGTCTATAGACTGTCCTTTCTTCCCACTAGGCCTTAAAGCCTTCTTTGACTGCAGCAGTTTTAAAATTGAAGCATACACAAGGTTCTTAAGTTCCTGTTTCCTACCCTGAAATGACATTGACTATAATCCAGACAATGCTTGGAAGTCCACAGCTGTACAATGTTATCTGTGACTTTCAGGAGCAATGACACATTTGATTATTGATTATTTTTAAGGTTTTTTTTTACTAAGAAAAATTGTTTGATACATAACCTAATCTTCCTTCTTGCTGTTCATGTGAGCCGCTATATGTTCTATTCATTAGGGGATTTCACACCTTTTTTTAATCTTTCATAATTAAGGATTTTAATTTTTTTAAGTTAAAAACCAGCAATCTACATGTGTTTCAGAATCTTTACATTATTTTCCTCTTATTTTTCCCCTTCTACCTGGCTAAAATAAAGTAATATGTTCCCAGTAAGTGTTGTGAAAATTTTCAAACAAAACTTGGTTTATGGAATGATTATTGATCAGCTTCAGTAAATCTTCATGTATTCTACCCGCATTACCTACGTGGAATATTTCTGTCCTTTCCAGAACTAAAGGATTATTCACATTCATTCTGCAATTAAATGAGTATTTTAAAATCTATGAATTTTCTATGGATTTGAAATGAGTTGTAGTCTCGCAATTGTAGCTATGGATCAAAGTTACTTTTATGCTTGTAGCAAAACATTGTTTGTGGTTATTTTTTTTAGTTAGTAAATTTATAGATGTTTGTATTCTGTGTTTAGCTCTTTACTTAAGAAGCATACCTCACAAACTTCCCAGATACATAAAAGTGCCAAAGGGAAAGGAAAAGCCTTTGCCAAAGAAGTTTGACTGGAGGGACAAGAAAGTCATTGCAGAAGTGAGAAATCAGCAAACAGTAAGTCCTGGTGTTTTCTTTTCCTGGTTCTGAAGCACTGCTCAGAGACAGCTCCAGCAGGTATGTGACAGAGCACAGTGAAGGCTTTGGAAGGGACCAGCACTGTCTCAAGACTCCCTGGAGTGCTGGCGCAAGTATGGCTGGTTGAACAAAGTCATGTAGCGTTTTATGCAAAGTGGGATTAGATTTAAAAGAGGTGTAAATTTGTGCATTTTTTAAATTGTGCAATTACAAACTGTAAAACATTTTTTAAATCTGTTTAATTAAATCTGCAAGTCTTTTGCAACATGTTTTTTGTATTTTTCTGAAGAGAGGAGGTAAGTTCAGCACCTGACCTCATTCCTCCATTTCACCTGGATATGGGGATAGATCCTCTGCTGTTTTTTTCTCTCATGAATGAATGCCATCAACTAGTCGATACCCATATCCTTACCATTTAACACCTCAGGGGATGATAGGAAAATAACCATATCCTACATGATTACAGTTTATCCCAGTGTGGTTATGGTTGCTGGTAAGAAACAAACAAGCTGTTACAACCCCAGTGTCTTTTCTTTCTGTGCTTCGCACGGTGTAACCTGACCTTGACTAAGAATAAATTCTGCTTTCTGTTTTTAATGCCACAGTTTAAAGAGCCTACAACTGTAGTTTAGTTTCTGTTACTGTCTAAGGAATTTTTCTGTTCTGTTTAATTTCAGTTTATTGTTTCTTAAACTATTATCTAATATATTTCTATAACATTCTTCAGACTGCAGAAAGTTGTAGACTGTCTCCTTGAATGCATTCTTTTAAAAACCACTAACCTTTTCTTTCTCTCCTGTTTCCCTTCTATTTATACCAGTGTGGAGGCTGCTGGGCTTTCAGCGTGGTGGGTGGTATAGAGTCTGCCTACGCAATTAAAGGAAATAACCTGGAAGAACTCAGCGTACAGCAGGTTATTGACTGTTCATACAATAATTATGGCTGCAGCGGGGGATCCACTGTTAGTGCTTTGAACTGGCTGAACCAGGTTTGAAACTCCTTATAAATCTCAAACCCTTCCTTAGCTTCCATATTAACATTCTTTTTAGTGGGAAAAAGTGATGGGGAAGGTGGAGCATACAACTCAACTGATTTTTTTTTTAATGTGTGTGTGTATATATTCTTGCGTATATATATAAAAATATATCCATGTGTGTATATATTCTTGCATATTTCTTTAATCTGGAACCAAAAGAGACTTTGTTCAAGCAGAATGGAAACTAGATTGGAATTTTATGGTCTATATATTCATTTTTCTTATTGCAGACAAAAGTAAAACTCGTGAGAGATTCAGAATACACTTTTAAAGCTCAGACAGGACTGTGCCATTATTTTGGTCACTCAGATTTTGGAGTTTCAATAGCAGGATTTGCTGCATATGACTTCAGGTAGCTACTATTGATTCTTCTTATTTGCTGTACTTTCCCTTCTGCGTTCAGTAACTGTGGAGTAAGCGAGAGCCAATAGTGCATTGACCAGCCAAAGGTTATGAGGTTGATTGCATCAGTTCTGAAGCTGTGTAGTGGATAAGAATACATAACATTTTTGAGAGTTAAGGCTTGTGCGATGAACCTACTCAACCTTGCCATCACTAGTCCTGCTCAAATTATAAAGATATGTGTCTTGAAATTAGGTCTTCTAAATTGGCTGTGTTTAAACTGGAACATTGAGTTAGTTTCAATTTTTAATATATGGTAAGTGAATGTTACACTGCTTAAGTATCAGCAACAGTAAATCCTACCAATAGTAGTTGGAATTTGTTGAAAAAAAAAAAATTAGGAAATACAAAATACTCAGTTACTTCAGTATTCATCCATTTGCACAGCCACCCTCATCCTTCTCCAGTCCATGACTTTACAAACTGTGTTGTCAGCTGAATTTTGTAAAGACAACTGGTAGCTTTTTAGGTTTCTATATTAAGAAAGTTTGTTTCTAATCTTTATCAGTACAATACAGCCGCAGATTGAATTTAAAGACAAGAAATTCAGTTTTGACTAGGAATTGAGTTGCTGTCACTTATGAGTAAGTAAAATTTATGATAGCTTTGCCAGTCTGTATTTGCCAAATTTAGTTATTGCACGTATCACCCAGTGATAAAGATTTCTTGTTCCAGTACATTACATAAGTAAAGCTGTATGAGAATGATAGTAGTAATGTCCTGTGTTTTGATGTGTTTGAGATACATGTTTGAGTCTATTGTTATGTATGATAGAAGAGGTACTTCTGTATGTTTGAAAAACTAATGGAAAGTAATAATATAGATGAATGTTTTGTGCAGAGCTGGGTTTAATTGAGAAGAGTGGTAGCTGAAAGTTACATAGTGCCCACCGACTTGACCCAGGAACCTGCTGCTATTTAATAGCATTATGTCCTTGGATCTGCACCTTTCCCATAGTCAGTGTGCCCTATATTCGTATTATTGTATTCTATGAAATACATAATTACTGATTTGTTATGCAGTGTGTAGAACTCACAGGAAACAGTTTAATTTTTTTGACTTTTAAATCATACTTAACAAGTAGATTATCACCTCTCAGATTGCTTTAGTGTGCTAACGTCAGTAACTTGGCATTATCGCTTCTTTCACAGCGATCAAGAAGAAGAAATGATGAGGGTGCTTGTGAACTGGGGCCCTTTGGCAGTAACAGTAGATGCGGTTAGCTGGCAGGATTATCTTGGTGGGATCATACAATATCACTGCTCCAGTGGAAGAGCAAATCATGCTGTTCTTATCACTGGTTTTGACAGAACAGGTGCGTTGCCATCAACTGAACTTCAGCTAAGTAGATTTTGTGGTTTTTCTCTTATTTGCAACTTGTCTCCTACAGTGTAAGTGATTAAAATCCAGGACTGGGTGTTCTGCTGGGAGCTGTTGGCTTGGTGTCACACCAGTTATGGAAATGCAGCCTGATACCAGGAGAAAAACTTCCTGTCTGTGCTTCATTAGTTCTGTGGGATTTCATGTCCTTGTAAAGTCAATAAAACAGTTGTATGCGTCTTTACACCAGCAGAGGATATAACCAGTCTGTTCAACACTGGCATATTAGCTCTGTCCTCCATGTGAACTACATTAGGTTTTACTGTACTGTATCATGAAACCATCAGAAACTATGAGATATTAAAATGGTAATTAACTCTGTAGAATGTTAGAAGTTTTTTATGCTTCCCAAATCTCATGTTATCTCTTGTTTATGAAAATGTTTCTTCCAGGTAGTATCCCTTACTGGATTGTACAGAACTCTTGGGGGCCCACATGGGGAATAGACGGCTATGTTCGTGTTAAGATAGGCAGCAATGTCTGTGGTAAGTCTGACAAAAAATAATTAGTGGTAAAGGCCACCTACTGGGATCCGGTTTTTACCATGTAAGTAAAGCAATATAATGGGATCCTCAGAGAGCAAATGCAAGTCATTGCTACATTTTGGAAAAGGTTAGATGAATTCAGATGGAAAAATAAATGAAGCAGTTGCTAGTTCAACCAAGCCATCTACCTGAGTGATTGAAAAACACCACAGAAGAGTAATGCTATTAAGGCATAAAGTTCTACTGTACCTTACCATGTAGAGGTAATGTATATGTTACAATGAATACATTCCATAATGTATACATTACAAGGCAAAGTATACACTTACGTGTCATTGTTCTAGGTTAATGCCATCACTACACTCAGTGTAGATAAATTGGCTGCTGCCCTTGTCTGGTGGATGGAATTGTCTCTAGACTCAGTTTAGCAAACAAGTATGGAAAGTGGATCTGCCAGTACCTGGGAGTTGTGTACCCTGCTTGTGGCTTTTCTTGTTAAGATAGAGGTACATGCTCTCAGTGCTACTTCCATCTCCTAGCTCTTTCTGTTTGCATGTGGTATTTCCTGATGCTTGAGGGGGGGTTTATCATGTTAAATATCCAGTTTCTTCTGAATTGCTGAGTAACTGCTGGAGGTAAGGCAGGTGGAACTCCTGTTTACCAGCAAAGACTGCTGAGCCAAATTGCTAGGATTGGACTATTAGTGAGTGTTGTCTATCCATTGATTTTTTTTTTTTTTTTCCTTCTGTTAGATAAATGCTGGAAGTCTTCTGTTGGCTTTCACTTCCATGTATGTTTAACAGTAGCTCTCAGTCATTGTAAAAGGTGTTAAGAGGATGCAAATTATCTGCAAATAAGAACAGATGATCTTCAGTTTGCCTACACCCAGTAAAGATCAGGACAATGTATCCCATCAGAGCTTTTCTATGTTGCTGAAACTTGTGTTCTTGTATAAACAAACTATTTGGAAAGAGAAACTTAGAAGTAGTGGTAAGTAAAGCAAGTGAATTGTAGGGCTGGTCCAGAAGAACAGATGTGTTGTTTTCAAATTCTCTCAAAAAGCAGGATCTTTCATGTTTTCTGTAGTTTCCCACACAAGAACAATCCAGCAAATGCCAGTAGTTGCTTTCTTCCTCCCACAGATGATGTTTTCTGGTTTAGAGGTGCTCTGACACAGCTTTTGAGGGTACAAGGGCTGTCAACCTTTGCTACCTGTCACAGGCTTTAGCCAGACTTTGCTTTTAGTGCTGGAAGGAGTACAGCAATACGAAAAGAACTGAGCATAAAAAAAAAAGCCTGGTTTGTTCTGTGTTTGTATGGGTCTGAGTATTCAAGAGTGTGCCTAGTAATGGAATTTGTGATCTCTATTCTCTTCGTGAGCTTTCAAAGCTGCACAGCTTCATATTGTCTATACATTGCTAATGCATATGATTAAAAGGGAAGAGGATATCAAGGCTTAGGTTGCTTATCGGCACCCAAATTGGACCAATGCTGAATCCTTAGAAAGGATCTAAAGTTTTGACTGGGAAAGCAGAGGAAGGGGGAAAGTAGACCACAACTATAAACCATGTTGGGCAAGGAAGAAATAAAAAGGTTGCAGCTGGTTTCCTGCCTTCTCTTGCCCCTCAGCAGTTCACCTGCTGTCCTGGTGCAGAGAGAGGGCATTATATGAATATGAATTCTGGTAACTTCTTTCTGGCAAGTCTCCACTTTCAGTATTTATTTAAAAATAATATTTTGTTTCATTTGTAGGTATAGCAGATACAGTTTCAGCAGTTTTTGTTTGACACTTACTGGCCAAAGACCCCAAGTATCATTTGGACACACTGTACATGAAGATTTGCTTCAAAACAGCACTTTCTAAAATAAGAAATCTCTGTAAGGGCAACTCTTCCTTTTAAGCAATACAGGAATGGATTGGCTGGAGTTTTTAAAAATGTTTTTATTTGGAATGTGGTGTGTGTCAAATCTCTCATGGAATAAGAAGACTTGGAGTAATCTGCAGAGTATACAAAAAGAAGTTACAATGATGGACTGAAACTGCGAGTGTGATCTCTATCCAGGTGTTGAATACTACTCCATAAAAAAATCTTACAGGGAAAGAAGTGATGATGAATGATGAGGAATTTGGATCAAATACCTTATGGCAAGGTATAATTGAAATGCTTAGAATATAAGAACTACCACGATCAGGTCTGATTTTATTGTGCAGGGAAGAAAGTCAGTCAAGAATATATGCTGTTTGATACTTGGGCACCTCTGACAGACACATATATTTTGTCTTCCTCCTTTTTGTGAAATCTTACTCTGTGAAGTTGGAAGAATACAGGAGGGTAACAGATACTCAGCCTTGTTGCCTGAGTATCCAGTGTCTCTGAAGTTCTGTAGTCCTTCATCATCAGTCTTCAGACCTTTATTGGGTAAATCTTCAATGCTATTCAGAGCAGGGAATGTGTTTTGGAAAGTGCCTATAATATCAGTCTTCTGCATTCATTTGTTAGATGGATAGAAAAGTAATAAGTAAGTGTATTTAGACAAAGAGAGGCAGTTCTAGTGGTTTAACATCCTATGTCCTGGCAGGTTGTATGTGTTTGCAAATCAGCCTTTCTGTGCTTCAAGAGCTGTTTTGTGCCTTTTTTATTCTCTACATCGGGAGTTACAGTGAAGCCAGATGCAAAATACAAATTAAAAAATTTGCTTCTTGTAAAAAAAATTATGAGGGTGGGGTTTGTTAATACACCTTTCTAAAGTCAGTAATTACAGGATACTCCAAATAGAGTGGGGTTTAGATTTCCCTGCATTAATTAATTGAATTCATAGATGGGAATTGCTGGCAATCAGAAAAGGGATGCCAGCTTTGCTGGTCATAACTAGATTTCACAACCAAACATGTAACTCTAAAATGCTCTGAAACTTTCACCTGGAATCTGTATATTTTATGAAGCACCACTCTGAAAAATGCTGAAGCGATTCTGTAGTTTTTGCATTCAATTACAGTACCATGTTACTAGATCAGCGTATTTATAATCTTACGACAAACGCAATGAGCATTCATCATTTTCTGTTGTAAGTATTGCCATTTTACTCATCTACTTCTTAAGTGTTAATATTTTAACAGTTTGCAAACAACAAATAGTACACTTACTTCCGTAACTGGGAAACAGTAGCCAAAGTTCCCAGTTGCCATTGATAAGAGTAATGCTGTTATAGTAGCATCAGACACAGACTATTCCACTAGTGTTTGTGAAGTGTGTAAGTACCTAAGGCACAGAGCAACTCAGCAGAAGTTAGGCTAAAGTGTATGTGTATTTCCAAGGGAAGTGATTAAGAAGAGAAGCCTCCATCCAACATGAAGACTACACAGCTTTATCAATATTCTATTGCCAATTTGCCTTGATTTTATTATGTATCAATTTTATCCTTACTTCAGTGATATTTGAATAAAACCCACTTTAAATGGCTATTGTACTGTTTTATGAACTTTACTCTTACTTTAGAAGAAGCATTAACAGAAGGTGAGCTTTAATAGTGCTTTATTTGAAATGCAAAGTAAGTGTATCTGCTACTCTTAACAGTGTTTCTGCATTCACTTGTAACAGGTAGGAACATGATTCCTGATGTATGTAAAACTTCAAGACGCTTGGGTTTCTATGGATTCGGGAATTCTTCTCTTAAATCTAGCTTTTGAAACTCTTAGCACGAAATTCCTTTTGAAATTCCACAAAAGCTCAGAAACTAATACTTTTCTGAAGGTGGTAAGACTAATCATTAATTTATTAGAAGTAAATTAATAACAGCCATTAGGCAAACAAATACGAAAATATGTACAAATAAGACATGATCATAGTAATTCTGTATAATTTGCTGTAGGTTTTAAAAACATCCAGCTACAGGTTTTAAGAAGCCAATGAAGAAGTAAGTTGGTCATTGAGTTGAATTGGGGTATCATTTTTGTCTTAATATAGGTTAACTCAATATGGGTTATTTTTTGTACAAAAATTAAGATTCTTCCACAAGCCAATCATCCTATTCACATAGCTGTCATACATAAATACATATTTACAAGCTCACACTCTATGAGAGTAGCTGTTACATTTAAGGGACAGCACCACTGGAGGTGAAGGTCCTGTAGTTCTTTACAGCAACCAGTCTGAAGAGGCAGGCTAGTCAGAGTCATCACTGCTAAAATAGGAGCTGTCACAGTATTCTGCAGTATAAAGGAATTTATGAATGCTTGGGTTCATCTTTGGTATCCAGTGTCTTGGCACTAGAAATGTTGAAAGATTGAATAAATCCACAAACACCTTGTATCTGTCACTGAAAAAGATAATCGGAACAATTAATGCTGCGGTATTGGCAAGGAAGGTCATTAATATCAAAATTGTCAGGAATCATTCCATCTCTATTATTTAATGAGATTTCTGCACTCCTCTTCAGTATTCCAGAGTAGAAATACAATCCTAACTGCTTATAAAGCATATGGGATCAGACTTTAAAAGGAGACATGGTTGCATTAGTCACATTCTTCTCCTTAAAATGCAGTGTGTAGGCTATAATCTTCAGACCTCCACTCTCATAGTAGATACAAAGTAGAATATACCTAGGAAGAAGGTTAACCTGAAAGCAAGTAAGAGTGAGAAAGCTTGCTGAAAAAGACAGTGAACCTATAATCTTCATGTAACTATCTGATTTCCATTCCACTCTCTGTTACAATGGTTGTGATGGGAACTGTTGCCCACAGACTGACATAGGAGTCACCAGCTACAAACGGTTTCTCTTTGAAATGAAACCTCAAAGAAGGTGCTCTTAGAAGATGTTCTAAAGATGTTTGTGCTTTTTTGACATAATGCTGTTCAGGACTATCAGGACATAGTTGCAGCTAAAAGGACTGAATGGTCTAATTAGCTGAATCCTCTAATTTGTGTAATAAAAGTCAACCCATTCAGCGAGTTCTGTGCTCAGGCCCCTAACAACCCTTCTAAGTTCCTTTTCTGCTTCAGCAAAAGGAGTCATACTTCTGATTGTTGCCTGCACAGCTTGGGAGTGTTAATTATTATCAGCTTTCAGAATATATTCAATCCTAAATTAAAGTACCTTATGTTGTACAATTAGAGGTCATGCTAAGAAAGGAAGTTATGCATCAATAGTTGCACACAAACTGAAAAATGCAAGGTTAATTATTGCTGCTGTTCCAGTAACGCCTAGATCCCTTGACTGAGAATTATACATAGCACTTTGCATGTGCAAAAAAGGAGTTCTTTTTGCCCCAAAACTCTTGAAATTTGTATATGTCAACCTGAAAAACAACGTTACAACCACCAGGAGGAAATGCTAGAGTCCCAGACGAAAAACAATAGCTCTCCATCCTCTAGTGAGCTACCTGAAATCTATCTCCTGGCATTAGAGTACGTCCGAACTGCATTTTTGCAGGTGGTGGGGGAATCACATTATTCTTACCTCACTGTTGAGCGCAAATACTGGTAGCCTGATGAACCACCAGTGCCAGCCTTGCTGCCAATCATTCTGTGAACCATGCAGACATGGTTATCTAAGTAACATAAAAGAAAATCAGGCTGTATGTTCACTGTTAAGATACAACAAAGGGTCACCTCAAGGTGCATCACTGAAATAGTAAAGATTCTACAGAGATCTTTACGTAGATATAACACTACTAGGTATTCAGCAGTGTAGGAGTTAATTCCGCCACTCTTCAGTCAGCTAATATAAATTATTGTTAATATAGAAAGAATACACTAATTCTTATACATTATTGTGCTCTGTTAATACAGAATTAATTCATTTCTGGATGTCTACATAGAGAAGGAGCAGAAAAAAGGTTTGCATATGAGGTCTTCATGAGTTTGGATAGGGCTTTGAGCAACCTGGTCTAGTGAAAAATATCCCCAGTCATGGTAGGGAGATTGGAACTAGATGACCTTTAACATCTCTTCCAACCCAAACCATTATATGATTCTATTATGAAATGACATGGTCACATTTTGGGAGACATTACAAAATTATACCTGCCATTTAAATAGAATTGTTCACTTATAGCATGTCATAGAAGTGACAGCTGTACCTATGTATCTAATGATCACAGAAGAAGCTGTTCATCTTTCCTCTTGGATGAAGTATAAAAAAACCTAGTCACTCCTAAAGGATGAACTCAGTTCGGTTCTAAAACTCTGGGCATAACTTGTCTAAAAGAGGGTAAAACAGGGCAGTTTACTTTCATCTAAAAGAAGGAGCGTCACAGTCAGACAGTGGAACTTACATCTCCATTTGGTCATGAGCACATCGATATCCATAAGGGAAGTAAGAAGCTGAAAGGGAACTTGAAAACGAGGCTCCTCCCTTGGAAAATGAAAGAGAAGACAGTGGGACCTCTTACGATATGCTGTATTTTTCAAAGTAGCACTTCACCAGTGTACAATAATGACATAACATATATCTTTTTCCTAAATTGGTATGGAAATGTCACTAGATGCTCTAAGAAGGGCTTCTGCCATAGAAGCCTGAATCTGCATTTTCCCCCATACTTGGAAAATAACTCTTCTTAGGACAATTTGTAGAATGGTCTGAACAAGGCATTTGCCTGTTACACTCTGAGGAGCAGCAGCTGGACAGACACGAACCAGATGCCCAAAGAGGCCAACCTACATCCTTGAATAGATACTCAAAACTCAACTGGACTCAGCCCTTAGCAGGCCAACCTGACCTTCAAGCTGGGCTTTGTGGAGGGTTGTATAAGCGTACTTTCCAAGGCCTTTTCCAACCTAAATAAATCTGTGCTGCTCTCCTTAACCTTCACTTTCCCTCCTACCAGTAAGTATTAACAATACATCTTCTACCTTTACCTGTAGAAGTAGATCATTAGGGCACCCTTCAGTGCTTTATAAGACAGTCGTCTTTCTCCTGCAAAATACGAGCATCCTTAGTATGTTACTGATTATCCTACAAATTTAATGCTGTTACGTGTTTATATAGATCATGTATAAAAAACCTGAAAGTGCACATTAATGAAATCTACCTTTACTAAGCAGGTGTTCGTGGCGTTTTTCATCAAATAACGAAAGTAATACATCTTTCTGTTTTTGGAATTCAGATAATTCATCATCTTTTTCTTCTGATTCTGGTTTGGCCTTTGATATTTAAAACAAAAACTGATTTTAGAAATCAATAGGGAAAATTAAGCACTTGAATGACCCATAATGTAACCGCTATTTTCATCATAAATACCCTAAGTTCACATAAAAAAAGTAAGAGCTGTATTTTCAAACAAGATAGATGAATCGCTGAGTCACTGTCCTTTAAGATACACAATTACGACAAAAGTACCATTAAATATCCATCAGCACAATTCACATTAATGAATGTTCAAACAAACTGGCAGCTTATCACTTTTATTTGGGTCTAGAGGCCTTAAAAACACTTAATCTTCAAGGCAAAAAGAAGACAACCTTGAACAGCTATGAGTGAGAAAATTGTAAATAAAAAGGTTTAGATAACAGAAATTCATAGAAAATTGACTAATTCTTATGTTATGCCTTTTTGTTTACCATTAAAAATCTACTTAAAACTACAGGTCTTACAGTATTTTGGGGATTTTCTTTTGCTAATTTGCTAGTGTAATTCAAACAATCACATAGCAACAAATTGCCACATACTGTTAAACAGAAATGGGGTGTTTATAGTGACACTCCATACTCACAATTCAGGGCCTCAAACTTCATGTTTACCCTCAACTGTAGATGCAAGCGCTAACTAAAGGCGAAGTTGTAGTTTCAGTAAAATCAATTTCAGTCCTTCTGTTGATACTATCCTTTTCCTTTTGCAATCAAAATCATACATGTATCACATACTTTAAACTGTCTTAGATGTCAAATTACAAATTTATTCAGATTTCCTGGGGGAAAAAAAATGCACTTTTTTCACTTCTTGCTGATTAAGTGAAGCAAATGAGCATAAAGTCAAAATTATGTCAGGATGTCAATTTGCCCGCTGCCTTTGCTTACAGCTAGATCAGGAGTATACTCCATACCTGCAACAAGGTAAATTCCTCTTCTAGACCTTTTAAAACATTCACTTCAAATTGTCCCCAGAAATCAAATCCTTCAGCATCGAGTCCTGGAGTTCTTTCCAGCCATGCCTTTAGTAATAACAACAATAATGATAATAACGTGCTCAAACATTAATAATGTAAGTACATTACCTTACAATCGCAAGTTGCAGCAGCATAAATCATACTGCTGCAGTTGTTCAGGTTTAATATCCCATTGAGGTGCTTATTGCTTCAGTTAGCATATCCGCGTAGATGATTTATACCTACATAATAGTGCCATGCAAACACACTGATGGGTTCCAGGTGAAGTGACTAGTATTGGAAGACAAAAGCTGTCTCACTATCTTTAAAACCAGCTTCTGTGTAGATACAAGATAACAACCTTATTCTCCATATATAGGATAATTGTAAAAATAAATCTCAGAAGGAAGGTGACAACAACCAGTTTCTATCATGTCAGACAAGCTGAATATTGATTAAGCAGTCTTGTCATTAACTTCCACCATAATATGTGATGATGCAAGACAGAAATTTACTTGGCAGTTAACAAAGCTTTTTCTTTGATTTTCTTTTAATAATGGGAATGAAATTTGGAGGGGAAAAATTAGGAACCTTTAAGGTCAAACTCTCTTTAGAGATCACTCTTCATCTCAAAGATACAAGAACATGAAGTCTTGACAAATGAAAAGAAAGCTAGAGAAATTTCTTATATATTCTGCATTAGGTGCCATTAGTCAAATGGCTAGGGCTAATAAGATTGGATTCTTTTATTGAGGTTTATATTGCATTATTCTTTATAAAGTTATGTAAGTTTGTGTGTGAAAATGACGAGAGAAATTACTGAGTCATTGATAGCTCTGAGACAAAGTGATTAAAACAAGGCAAGTGATAAT